TTGTAAAAGAACAAAGATTACTTAGAGCTATGAAGGGACTGGCAGGGATTGTAAAAGAACAAAGATTACTTAGAGCTATGAAGGAGACTAAGATCACACTTTGAAGAATATAGAAAATTTGTTGTGGCTGAATTTTGTTAGTAGTAACGTTTGGAATTTTCTATAAATATAGTAAAGAAAGTAAAGTAAGAGTTGTAGTAAAGAAAAGAAAAGACTGTCAACTTATAGTAGCAACTGCAATAGATTTCTTCTGTTTCTCACCTGCAACACTTGTAGCCAAATCGCAGTTCAAACGATAGCCCATCGTTACAGTCCAACAAGCAAAGTAGAAACAAAAAAATGGGATCACACATCCAACCTTCACTTCTCATGAGACAAAATGCATGTTTAGCTCACCAGCTCAGAAAATCTTCTGCCTTTATAAGCGAAAAACAACAGCTTTGGTTCATCGAGAGATCTTTCTGATTGGTCATGCCACTCAGAGGAGGGGAGAACATTAGCATAGATTCTAGTCATTGAAGTAGATTTTTGCTAACTACTTTTTGGTAATTTTTCTTCAGCAGATCGCACACAGAACACAAACATTTTTTTCGGGGTAACTGATTATCTCTTTCATTACAAAATATATGACAAAACTTGATTAAATCAGATTAACTAATATGTGTTATATTTTGACACTAAGAAATAATATCTATTGTCATTGAATAGCATAGTTGTTTCATCACGGTGGAATCATCAGTGGATTCATGGGTAGTAAAGTAACTTGTGACAGCAGAGTCAATGTGTTTTGTTGGTTACTGCAGTATGACATGTGTTAATCCAAGTGTTATGACATCTGATTTTACTTTGTATTTTATCCGTCCAGTAATAGTCTTGCATACCATGAGCTACTGTCTTCTTCCTGCTTGGGTATTTGTATAGTCTATGCCTTAGCTGTGCTAATTAGGTAATCATTTGCATATCACTATACCAAGTCAGTGAAAGCAAGAGAGAAAATAGAATGCATAGTTGTCAGCAAAAGAGACAACCTAAATAGTGAGTTACAAATTGGACATATTAGAATCAAGCATGTGCAGAAATTCAGCTATTTTGGTTTGTGCAGACTCACTCACATAATTTTGTTAATGATTGGTGGTTATAAATAAAACCTCCTTATCGATGAAAATTTGTTATTGATCATGATTTGAAATTAAAGTAATCTATAATAATAATCGATAATTGAATAAGTCAAGATCATCTTTGAGGATATGCACATGCATATCTAATGCCTAGAAATATGTCAGCTATAATTTATTTTTCAATTTTATTTCTAAAATTAGTTTGACATATGAAACTTTTCATACCTTAACAATTACATTTTTTTTTCAGTTAACATACTTAATTTTATCTCATGAAATTTTTTAGATTTTATTGTTGTAATATTTTGTAGGTTCTAGTGTTTCAGTATGTATTGTTGTTTTCATAATATCATTAAATATTTCACCACCATAATGCATGAATCAGCCAACCAATGTTGAATGACAGGAAACAGCGTTAAGAATTACTTTATCTCCTCTATCTGACACTGTTGTTTTTCATAGATCATTTCTGAGTTCAGTCACGGAGTAGACCTTGAATTTTCACCTGTCGTGATGGATGGGTGTTCTCTCAGGGAGGTCCCATGCCTTGAGCACCTATTGGGACTTAAGCTCAACCCAGGCTTCAAGTGGAACTCCTATATATGATCCATCATTATAGAGGCTGGAAAAATGGTCTGTTCTCTGTACCGCTTCAGTAAATACCTGACGCCTCCTGTTATCATCTACCTTTATAGGAGTGAGACCAGGATGAAAATAGTCTGCTGCTGCCATATATAAGCAGGAGTTGACCAGTCTTGATAGAGTTCAAAAGCATATACATCTACTTGTAGGTGACAAATTATTTTCTACTCTACAAACCCTTTCCCACAGACATTACGTGCTAATACCCTTGAGAAAGGTGTGAATCCTCTTCTACTCCTTCCAGCTATGGATAAATAGCAGGACAGACTGGGTTCTATAGCTTTGGATGGCAACTGGTCTAGGAGAATAAAAACTCTGAATTCAAAACCTGCGGAGGGCTGTTTGGGGACCTTGTGGCACGTAGTGCACCAGGTCTCTGTACTCGACCCTTCAAAAAGTGTGGATGGTCCTGCACGAAACCTTCACCACTATAATCAAATCTCATGTGCTATACATGCAGGTTAGGGGACCTCTTGTAAATTCCAAATTCCCATGAAACTCCAATATTGGAGCCGGCTCAACCACCCCGGGGGAATGCCGTTACAGGTTTCCCACAGACAAAACATTGCAAGCTTTTTGCTACTCTATATCTATTTCCAGTGATAGTGTTCAGACAAATTACATTCTGTAGTTCTACCATTTCTAACATTCATGGCTAGGTCTTGGCCATGCCATGTACATGTTTGTATTTTACTGGCAAAATATAAGTTCCACTTCTTCCCACAAACTGCTGCTTTGTGGAACCAACTCCAAAAAGGATGCTTCCCTAATCACTACAATCTTAACCTGTTTATGTCAATCGTTATCTTTCTCACATACCCTCTTAAACTGTGCCTCTTATTCTGTAACCCTCTACCATGAGTGGCTCTTGGGCCTTGTAATGGATAGAATAGAATATTCATCATCATTCATTCATTTAGAGCATTTTGAACTGCTGTGATCACCATTCCCCTCCTTCTCACAATTGTGGTTCATGGTGACATTCATGGCAGAATAGTGCAATGGTTTGCTGGTTCCTTTTGCACCAAGGATGTTGAGGTTACCCTATCTTTCCCCTCAGAAGTTAAAGAAGCAAAACCTACAAGGCCGCAGGTGGTTTAAATTCAGAGTTTTCTTTCTAGACTGGATGCCAGCCAAAGCTATAAGGCCCAGTCTGTTCTGATATAATTATATTCTTGATAAATGAACAGCGTATAGGAATTAATATATAGGAATAGATTAATCAATGTTTATTGTTTTTTAGAGTAAGCTTCACTGGTACAAGGCCTGGGAACCACCCAAAGTAGAGGGTTATATTAAAGGGTAGTTTATATAGATAAAAGATAACAGTTAACTCTAGACTTGAACAAGTTAAGATTGTAATGATCAGGAAACATCCTCTCGAGAGTTCCACAGAACAATGGTTCATAAGAAGAAGCTGTTCAAATGAAACTTACTTCTCACCGATGAAATACGAAGGGAATGTGTGTGGTTTGTTACTATTTAAGTAGCATGGCATGTCCTATCTGTGAAGGTTAGTCCTAGTGGAACCAAGAAATATAGTTCATCTGAGCACTTTTCATGGAAGTAGCAATAGAGTAGTGAGGGGCTCGCCACATCCCACCTGTGAGAGAGAGGTTGGAGGGTGGAAAATAATTCTTCTCCAAGAAGGACTGACATGATTTTGAACTCTATCAAGACTAGAAGGTGAGGCCTGGGGAGCTTCCACCTAAACATGGCAACAGTCCTCCATTTTCAGTCTGATCTGGCTCTTATAAATGTAGAGGATAATGTGAGAAGTCATGTACATACGTGAGCGATACAGGGAGATGACACTTTAGTGATGGATAAGAGTTCCACTTGAGGTCAGGTATAAGTTTGAGGATTGTGCTTAATTAGTTGAAACACATAATGAAGAAACAAGGCTTGGTAAATTTAGCACTCACAAGATTCATCAAAGGCAACAGACAGGGGAGAACAGTAAATAACAAGTTTCAGCAAATGGGCAGCAGAACAAGTACCACAAAGAGAAAGACGGTCATGAAGGAATAAGTATTGCTGAGAATAACAAAAGACAGGAAACTGTAGAGACATGATTGTCCAAATCTTGAAGGAACATGGAATGTAGACAGTTTTAGAAGCATGGTATTTGGCCTCTGTACAATTATATGCTTGTAAAATGTCCCAGAAGGATATACAGTGTTTGAAACAACCTCTGCAATGTGGCATTGACCTAAACCTCTGTAGGAAAAAGGGAAGGCTGAGTTTGAGATGGTGAGGGATTATGTAGATGGAGTGGGAAGCAATGCAGTGTCAGTCTTAGGGTGAGAGGTACAAGCTGCAGATGGGGCAGAGTGGTGGCCTTATGTACCATGAGGCATTAGGCCAAGGATGGCCAACCTGTGGTACATGCGACATAAGTGACGCATTGGATGTTTACAAGTGGCGCATTGCATCCTTTTGATGTAAAGAAACTAAGCCACTTCTACTCATTCATTTCAGTGATTTTATATTTATTGTATGTTTGTGTGGTGCATTTAAATTATTCGTACAAAATATTGGCGCATGGAATCAAAAGGTTGGCGACCCCTGCATTAGGCAGATTGATTGATAAAATATAGTTTAAACTTTGTTGATGCACGTTATTTTGGAATTTTGCACATATTGATCATTTACTATATAATCCATTATAAATAAATTGTAACAAATAAATTGAAAACCGCATTAACTCTTTAGCATTCAACATGCTCAAACTTGCCCCATAATTATCAGCTTTCAAAGTCTCAGTGTTTGTGGTAAATGTTTCACTGTTTGCATGACTTCCTGTGTTATTAGCAATGATACCATATGGCAGAGTATACATGCGATTGATTATGGTGAGTTGAATATTGAGAACTGATATTTAAGAGCATTGCAATTTTATTTTTTGTCTGTATTTTCTTGGAACATATGGGTTTTTGAAAAGATCTTGGACGAAACCATTTTTCAAAATCTGGCCAAATGTCAGGATATTTTTTTCTTTTTTTGAAGGGGCTGAAAAATTTTTCAGCTTCACCTCATATATTTCATTTCAAACGTAAGTATCAAAGAAAAAAAAAACTTATCTTCTTTTATTATTAGTTTTTCTGCAAGCCCTTTGCTTTGATTTTGTTTCATATATTGTTACCCCCCCCCTCATTTGAATCCTATGCTTTCAATCTTTCAAATTTAATCTTTTATAAATTAAAAAAATTTCTTATATCAATATTTTTTCTTTTGTAGTATTGATGAAAAGCCTCAACCACCTTTGCTGCCTCTCAAATCATCACCCTCACACACTTGCCCAAATCTAACAGGAGGCAGTGCCCATCCTTGGCTTCAAGCTTTATCAGGAAGACAGCAAAGTTTTGGATCTGATCTCTCTACTGGAACAAACTCCAGCGTGAACAGGTTGGTTCTGACTTAGATTCCTACACTATAAGGCTAAAAGTTTTCAGCCATCCTCTGAGTTTCAAAGAATTGCCTAAAAACTGAAAGTTATATTCTGTCATGAAAACTAATTTACTAACTCACTTTTAGCCACAGGGACTTTCTCTCCTTGAAGGGTTTCTTCATATATTCATTAATAATAATAACGTTATGGCATAAAGTTTCCTTAAAATTTTAGCTCTTTTTGTCTAATCTACCTGGCTGCTGGATTTAAATTTTTAGGTAACCCTTCTAAAAATTTGATGCACTAATGGGTTAAATAGTTTAGCATTTGAGTTTAGTGGGAGTTAATTAAACCAAAGAAAGTATGAAACTTACTAATTATTAAATCTGGAGTTTAGGCTCCAAACCTTTGGCCTCTAGTGAATATTTTCTGCTTTGATAAATATTTTGTTAATTAAAAGTATTTCATACAATTTAGTATTAGGTTATCAATTGGTATTTAGTTTAATTGTTTTAAATGAAGACTTTTCACTACTATCTCCATCTTATTGTTGCATTTTAAATGAAGCATTTTCACTATTATTTCACTGGGTTAAAAAAATGACTGGTTAATTTTAATGCCCAAAAATAAACTGCTATTTTTAATCACCTTAGATAACCTTTTTTGCCTTCCATCTACATGGCTGATGCTAACATTTCTCGTTGGGCCTTCTCAGTCTGTTTTTCACTGACGTCATTTGGAACAATCATATCAAATCAGTTTCTAGGTCTGCTACTTGGAATGTTAGTTCTCTGTGTTGTGCTAGACAATTCTTTTCATCCAAATCTATCTTGCACATTTATAAGTCTACCATTCATCCATGCATTGAACATTGTTGTTACACTTGGTCTTGTGCTTTTTCCATATATCTAGAGATTCTTGGCAAAATCAAAAAACTGGCAATGTTATCAGTCCAGATCTGACATCTCCACTTCAGTCACTTCCTCACTGTCATAACATATGTTTCCTGTGCGTTTTCTATAAATATATTCATGGTAATTGTTCTGACGTGCTTGCTTTTTTGTTGATATCTCAAATTCATAAATTTAAGCATAGTATTTCACATCAGGAAGAATCAGTTGAGCTTTCTAGGGCACATAATGAAGAAAGAGGGTTTGGAAAATCTGATACTCACAGGACAGATTGGAGGGAAGTGAGGCAGGAAAGCAATGCATAACATACTTAGTGAGCTTGAGTAAATGGATGGCAGAACAGGGTTTAGGAGAAATAACAGACTTGCATCAGGAGGAAGTAAATATTTGTTGTTTAGATTGGAGTCTATATAAAAATTATATCTGCAAAGTCTATACAAAAATTTAAATGCAGTGTCAATCATCATTTTCTGTCTCCTTGATTCCTGTTCCTTTTCCTTTTATCATGCACTCCTCACTAAAATTTTCTCAGTTTCCTTCTGTTATACCTGACGTACCTATTCTATTATTAATAGACTCTCCCACACATAATAAGTAGTAGTAGTAGTGGTCGCCAGTTGGGCTCAGTGGAGTTGAGTGTGTCAGTCGATATCGAACATTGAAGTACCAACCATCACAACTAGATTGCTGCGTCATTAACTCTTATTTCAAGTTCCTAACGTCAAACCTAATTTAGGACAACTTATTGAAATACAAGCCTCCACTGTGAAAACTACTCTACAACACCTTCGCATTCAGTAACCTATGGAATTTAAAGTTGTGTGGTGGTATATCACAGGTGTGTGAATGTTCACATATAAACAACTAATGTAGAAGCAACAAAAAAATTTGGTTGCTACTATGGAATGTTTATTCTTATATGTGTGTGTCTCTTGAGTATGTCCATTTTTCTTTTCTGGTCCAGAAGTAAGTTAGGATAAGTAATGATAAGAAGGGTTATAGTGGTCAAGCTTGTGCTGAGTTGGAATGACCAAATTACTTTTCATGATGTATTAGAAATGAGTAAGAGAGCGGTTTTGTCCTTTCCAGAAGTGGCGTCATAAAATTGTACAGAAGACTAAAAATGCTTTCCATTTCCTTTATTTTTGGCATCATATGAAAATGTACTTATTTTTTTTTTTTATTCTTTATTATTATTCTGTTTATTTGATTTCATTTTATTTTCTCACAAATCCTTTACATCTTAGTGTTTTTTATCACTTTGCTGGAGGTGAAATGATTACAAAAAAAGTTATTACTAGTTTCATTCAATCTTATCATCATTGCTTTCTAGATAAGCATTTTTGCTGATATTATTGTGTTTTATCTCAACACTTCAAACCATAAGAGCAAACCAGTAAAACATAGGAAATAGTAGCTTCTGATAAAATTTGAAGTCTTAATTCTCACCTTGGAAATGAAATGTTCAATGACAAAGACTTTACCTACATTAACCCCAATAGTAGACCAAGAATGGAGTATTGCTGCCATATCTTTCCAGCCTTAACAGAGTTCAAAAGTGCTTATGTGGCCTTGTGGGTGATGACTTACGCTCCACCCTGCAATCTTTATACCACAGACAAAAACATTACCAGCTTTTCTCTACTATATTGCTATTATCATGGCAGATGTTCAAATGAGTTACATTCCTTTGTGCCACCAGCACGGACTTTAATAGCTATGACCTGCCATGCTGTTTTCATGGTACCCAACCATCCACCATTTCCTTAGAGTTTCTTTGATAGGGAGTAAGTTTCACTCAGCCAGCATCATCCCCAGAACTGTTACTTTGTGGAACAAACTCTAGAGGGTATGCTTTACTGACAACTACAATATTGGTCATTATAAGTCCAGGATCAGTTAATATCTATCATACTGGTGATAATATTCTCTTGGTTCCCTCTCCATTACAATCTCATTCAGTTAAGCTCTGCCTTGAGTGGCCCTTCTACCTGTTATGGGGGAACTAACAGTAAAATATATACAAGGTGCGATGGGTAAATTGTCATCATTCTATATTTTTAATTTCGCACATGCGTGTTGTTTGTTTTTGATTTTGTCTATTATAGTATAGTAGGGTCAGTTGGGCACCATCTGTGAGAAAAAGAGCACTATGATGCAATTTGCTCCAAGAGGAATTTAGGAATGCAATGCTGCACTGCTTGGCATTCATGCCGGAAGCTCTAATATGAACATTTCAGAGTGTTTGGGTGTCAATTTTGGGACATTGCAGAGGATTCAGGATATATCCAGTCAACATTATACTTGGAGTGATCACTAATGATGTCAATGTTATACCTCCATTCATTTTCCCCACAGTCAAGAGAGTGACTACTGCAAGACCCTATGTCTGCTACACAAGCAGTAGAACCCACTCATGACTGTCAGACAATTGCTGCAACCACATCACCCCTTACATCTAACCATCCAGACTACAACCCCCTTTGATTATTATGTGTGGGTTACAGTTGAACAAGAGACTAACAAAATTCCTTGTAACGCCAAAGATGAACTGAAAACATGACAGCATTCACCAAATTAAGGAGACCATCCAGGAGAATTGCAGGAGATCCTGGTCATCTGGAGCCTGTGGTTGAAGCTAATAATGGTTTTACTGAATAAATTTAATCTTTAGTATTTCAAGATATTTTTTTGTAATTTTGGTAAATATATCTGTTAAAATGAGATGTTAGTGTTGTTTTCATTTTTGCGTAATTTAGACAGCAATTTATCCATCGCACACTGTTTATATATTTTTATTCTGTAGATTGACACAGTTTTTACCTGAATTTTGATATATTTTAAATGCATAAAGTTCATTTTATGAAATTAATATTCACCACTAAATTAAGTGCTTTAACCTAAACAGAGATCATGTTTCCAAATATGTTGTGCAAAATAAATGTATTTCTTTTTCAGTCCCTTGATCAACTTTATATATATATATATATATATATATATATATATATATATATTTAAATAAAAACAGACCACTTTAAGGTTCCATGTAATAAATTATTTCACCACAGCCCTTTTAAAAGGACTGCAGATCATCAGACTTTATTTCCAAACAAAAAATGAAAAGAAAATTTACACATTTTTGACAGGCCATATTAAACATATGTAAATTGAGGAAGTGAGGGGGGAGAGAGAAGACATGAGTGAGTTAGCAGATATTGACACATTTAAATGGTTTTATTTATATATATATATATATATATATATATATATATATAAATCAGACTAACAGCAGGAGTGTCTATTCCTATTTTTACCTCCATACTTGATGCTATTCCTGTTATTGTCCTAATATACACCTGAACTGGCTTGTGTTTTCTCCAAACTCTACAACAAATGCCTTGCTGCTTCTTGATTTCCAGCTTGTTGGAAATCCTCTTTTGTAGTTCTTGTGTTTAAGAACCCTGAAGTTTCTTATTTCTTGAATTATCATCCTTTTAATCTTTTATCTATTTTTGGCAAAGTACTAGAATCTCTAATCAACTCTTAATAAGTTAAGCATCTTACTTCACATGTGGTTTTTACTACTCTAGGTCAACAACTGATGTGCTAAAGGTTATCACTGAATTTGTTTATCTTTTGCCCACTTCTCTGCTGTTTCTTTATGCCATTTTCATTTTACTCCTAAGTAATCATGATCTTGTATGTTTTTTTTAAAATTCTTATTTCAAACTGTTTACTCTAATGGGCAAAGCATATATCATTTCAGATTGTTGGGACAAAAAGCAGTAATGATAATATTAGCCTTTCCTTATGATGAAATATTTGGCATTCTTTGACCAAATAGTTAGTGCTGCTTTTGGATGAATTTTATAAAATCATTCTCTTGACTTATTAGTAATATGCTAAAAAATGACATTGTTGTGGTGTCTCCAATACCAAAGCTTCAATGTACTTGGGTGAGTCATAGTTGGCAAATCTTTGCAGTCATTGGCTTTGGAGAAAGATATTCCAACAGAAAACTTGCAATCTCAAAATCTCACTCCCATCAATCCACTTCATCAAACATGAATTCTCAAGTAGCCTGGGGTAAGGAATATTTGTGCTAC